GGACCATCGGACACAATTGATTGGCGATGATAATAATAATAAAATCGTATACAAAATCAGTTTGGATGACATCAACGCGTATATTTATTGCGCGCAACAAGTTAGAGATAAACAGAGCGAATTGAAGTATGCTGCGAATTGAAAATGCAATTGATATTGCGACTGCAATTTATTGACGCGCGAATTAATAAACGCGCGTATATATAGCTTTGGAATCAGATGGCGGGGAAAAACAATGAGCGAACTAAATGAGAGAGGTGACGAAGAAATGTGCGCGCATATGCCTGACGTATCACCTATTTAACGTGCACCCGGCGGCTGCGACGTGTGTGTGGATGGAGAAGGAGAGGGTTGTAGCTTATCATCCCCTCGGCTTCGCCTTTATCGGGGATTCTGACGCCCCCATTCCCAGGGACTGGGGATCGCGACAATTAGGCGAGAATCGTCGTGCCGGAGCACAGCCTGCCGTCGAAATTAATCCGCCGGGAGAGCAACGTTCCCTTCGCCATTTTGGCACCCGCGGCTATGAGCTCTTCGATATCGAATCGCCATTGCACGCGACGATGTGGAAGAGAATGCGGATACGAGTTACTTTGTCTCGTGCATATATTGAGCGTCCCGGAAATAACGCGGAAGACAATTCGCCGCGAACGAGAAATTCATTATTTTTCAATTATATGAGCGATCGAAAGGAGCGAGTCAAGTATTTCAAGGGTTTTACCAGTGTACAAACATAAATAAGAACGTCTTTATATATTGTATGTATATTGGCAGATTTTTTAATTGAGCGTCTCTTGAGGATACTTTTCTATTATAAGAGAATTAATATATAATAATGTTAAAAGATCGCGAAAGATTGTTCAGCGAACGAGAAATTAATTATTTCTGAATTATGAGTTATTAGAAGGAGCAAATAAAATATTTTAAAGGTTTTAAAATACATAAAAATAAATGAGAACACTTTAGCAGATTTTTAAATTTAGCGTCTCGAGGATATTTACTGTGTAAAAGAATTAATATTAAAAAATTGATTTCGAAGAATCTATGAATGAAGGAAGGTAATAAAAACGGCAATTTCTCGGAGAAAGAAAGAAAGAAAAAATAGAAGAGTACGATTTTTTTTTAAATATTTAATTCATGATTGTTAAAGCGCACAAGAGCAAAAATACACGAAAAAAAATCTACGGGGCTGTCTCGAAGATAGGTAGACCGGACGTATGGTCGTTCCGTTTTCGGGGAGAATTATACAGCTTGCATAGAAATACCCGCGGTTAAAAAAGTCATATAATATATAAAAATTATTTTATTTTATATTAAACTGTGTGTGTGTAAAAATTATTTCTTTTAATAATATTTAGATTATAAAAATGTTTTTACAATTTTATTATATACATTAATTTAATATATATATATATATATATATATATATATATATATATATATACATACATACGTACATGCTAATTCAATTTTTTAAAATATATATTTTATATTATATTATTTTTATATATAATTCTCTTTTATTGCAACAGAATTTTTTTTATTCATGCAGAATCGTTTTCATCGTTTTTCCATTGAGAAAATCACAGTAACAGATGCGTTTACATGACGTTTGCGCGCGCGTGATTTAATTTTCGCTTTAGCCTCCAGCCGTGCCGCTATCGCGCGCACGGGAAATAATTAATCATTAACTATCGGACAACAAAAGATTTAGGTGCCGAACATCGCGGCTGACCTCCGAACCTTGTACGGGGAACAAAGAGCTCTTCCAGCTCGCGCTCATAATTCAATCCCAGTATTGTCCGCGGCGACATCGCGTTCCTTCCTCGACGGGTGTCGTCTTTCGCCATTAAGCAGAGTAGCCGGACAATAGACGCGATTCGCTATTAACCCTTTCGGCCTCTAGAGTGAGATAGCGAGATGTAGAGATAGAGAGAGAGAGAGAAAGAGAGAATTGTACGTCGGAAAGCGTGTTCGCGGTGCACCATAACTCTCTCCGACCGGGCACTCTTGCACGGTCGATGTATTTAGCACCGGTCGCACATAATGCACTCCACTAAGTAATTCCATTTGTTGCGTTTCCTCGGGGATTAAATCGTAGTATGTGTTTTTCGTCCGAGTATCTCGGTCCGCCCACTCTCGGCGCCCGCGATCCTTATCCTCCTTTCAATATATAAAATCCGACAATGGATATGGAAAATTACCCCTTTGCACGCGAACTCTCCGAGCTTTGAATTTAAAATGCGACGCGCGTATCGCGACCCTACAATATTTTCGCGTAAATTATTCCGGAAAGAAGAATGGAATAAAGAGCGCAGATATATATATATATAGGTATACAGAGAATTACACAGTACATATATATACAGGTATATCTTGAATGAATGAAGTTCAGATGCGCGCTGCTGGTAAAAGCTGCGATGAAACGGCGATTATATTTTTCTCACGTTCGTTAAGTATCGAGAACGATACGATACGAAAGCTGTTTTAATTATCGCCGCTGTTGAAAACTTAAACGTTGCTTTCCCGTTTACCGAGTCGTTATAAATGGCGAGCTTTATTAAAGAAATTTTAATTAATTATGGGATTGTATATATATAAGCATCCGCATAAACATTGAGGACGAAGTTTTCTTTCATAATCTCTCGGCCAATGAAATGTTTATCTTTTCGCGGAGGGTTTTTACAAGAAAGGATACTACTGTCAGTAATGCACGAAAAATTAACACTGAGATCTTTTAAATTATTCAAAATCATCGAATTAGTAGTCCACAACTTAAGCTTAAATGTTGCCGAGTGTATCGAAGTTTCGTGTACGCAGAGCTTAAATGTGCTTCCAAAATTATGCGACTTGAGTAATATTGCATGAGTAATAGAGAAAGGGTTGTGTGTATGTGTGTGTTATATAATATATTACTATACTCTCGTACCCTTTTCCTCCTTATTCTCTCCCTTGAGAGACATAATATAATAATAAAGTAATATAATATATTAACTCAGAAATAAATATTTTTATCGGCTCTCAATATAAATAATATAAGTATGCTGTCTTCTAAGCTGGGCAATAGAGCCAAGGAAACGAAACGAAAAATTAATTAAACGGAACTGTATCTCAATTTGAGATCCCAAAGTTCCACATATAAATTAATTTCGAAACTTACATATGGAGAAATAAGCGAGAAAAATATAGGTCCGAAAAGTCGCTGAAGCGGGAATCGAACCCGCGTCTTTCACTTTCCGGGCGACTGCTCTTACCAACTAAGCTATTCAGACCCTTTCGATCCTATATTTTTCATTTGCCTTTTTTTTTTAGTATATGTTAGTAAATACCGCCGTGATTAGCCCAAGGCGTGAATAAACTCAGAAATAAATATTTTTATCGGCTCTCAATATAAATAATATAAGTTTAAAGTATTTTCGTTTCGTTTCCTTGGCTCTATTGCCCAGCTTAGAAGACAGCATACTTATATTATTTATATTGAGAGCCGATAAAAATATTTATTTCTGAGTTTATTCACGCCTTGGGCTAATCACGGCGGTATTTACTAACATCTACTAAAAAAAAAAAGGCAAATAAAAAATATAGGATCGAAAGGGTCTGAATAGCTTAGTTGGTAAGAGCAGTCGCCCGGAAAGTGAAAGACGCGGGTTCGATTCCCGCTTCAGCGACTTTTCGGACCTATATTTTTCTCGCTTATTTCTCCATATGTAAGTTTCGAAATTAATTTATATGTGGAACTTTGGGATCTCAAATTGAGATACAGTTCCGTTTAATTAATTTTTCGTTTCGTTTTCGTTTCCTTGGCTCTATTGCCCGGCTTAGAAGACAGCATACTTATATTCTTTATATTGAGAGCCGATAAAAATATTTATTTCTGAGTTTATTCACGCCTTGGGCTAATCACGGCGGTATCACTAAATCTACTAAAGAGGCAAATGAAAAATATGGGATCGAAAGGGTCTGAATAGCTTAGTTGGTAAGAGCAGTCGCCCGGAAAGTGAAAGACGCGGGTTTGATTCCCGCTTCAGCGACTTTTCGGACCTATATTTTTCTCGCTTATTTCTCCATATGTAAGTTTCGAAATTAATTTATATGTGGAACTTTGGGATCTTAAATTGAGATACAGTTCCGTTTAATTAATTTTTCGTTTCGTTTCCTTGGCTCTATTGCCCAGCTTAGAAGACAGCATACTTATATTAATAATATATTAAATTATATACGTGTAAAATGTAATATAGGTGTATAGTATATATATGCATATTACTTTTTATAATATTAACATACATTATATTAATATTATAAAAAAGGACGAATATGCTATCAATTTTTAAGAATATATTTTCATATCATTTTATCTTTTCGTGAAACAGAACTTGTTTTCATGTAAATTTCGTTTCTCACATTGAGGAAGACACAGATGCGTTTACATAACATTTGCGCGAGTGATTTTATTTGCTCCAATTTTTTTTCATTAGCAAGAATGCGCAAAGAATGTTCTCTCTCTCTCTCTCTTTTTGCGGGCAAAAATTAGAAGAAAAAAAAGAAGGAAATAGAGTAGAAAAATGATTATAATAGTGTTAAATTAATGTGATGAAATAATAAAGTCTATCTCTAAAGCATTAATAAAAAAAGATAGTATTTCAAACTAATTTGTAACTCAATTTTGCTATTTCATTTCTATTTTATATTATTTAAAAATATAATGCTTTAAAAAAGAAACGGGAGAAATGAAGTGACATTCATAAGAGTAGCAGCTTTTTAGTCATAGCGATGTCATTACGCATAATTAAAGCACATTAATGTGACTCTGATTTAAATAGCCAATGATTATCTGAATTATCGAATTAAATGTTCGTAATCACCTCTCATAACCATAATTTCATAATTATTATATATAATCTATTACATAATCCGCTCAAATAATCACGGCATTTTGTTGAAATTAAAACCAGAATATAATCTATCTGTCCTCTTGTTTTTGATACAATTTCCATCTCTACCTTGTTTGATGATATAACTGCGCTTTCGAATAACACAATGGCGCATCGTCGTCAGCTCGGATGGAGTATTGTCCTCTACTTACAACAAATCAACAGTGCCTTCTCCGACTCGTGACGTTTATTCGCCTTTTAGACGCTTGTTAGTTTCTGAAATCCAATCCGGGAAAACATTTTTTATATATAACAATATAAAATTATATAGAAATATCTAAAATTATACATAGAATCGCAAAATTATATATGAAATATGTCCATACATAATTAGATAAAAATGCTTTTTAAAATAAATATTTCTTCATATATATATAAATATATATGTTTCATATATAATTTGATATGATTATACAATATGAACCCTTATAATTTATATACAATATAAATTTATATAATTATGTACGAAAATGGACATATTTCACATAATTTTACGATTATATGTATAATTATACAATTATTTATATATAATTAAATTTTTTTCCGAGAAGAGCCTGAAATTACGGGGACCAAGATCGAGCAACGAAACGGGAACGCGCGAATATGATATGTTAGGTACTGAAAAAAACATCGTCTCTTCTTGTCCGCTTTGTAGCGCCATTTTTACGGTACTTTCAATTTTTATAGTGCCCGCCAATGCGCGTCCGATACATATATAGTGTGGCTGTATATGCGTCGAACTTAGTAATGTAGGTACCGTTGAAAAATGGGCATGCACCACGAAAGGGTGGCCCTCATATACTTCGAGCTGAGTTTGCAAATCGCGATACCCATCTCCCCTTTAACGGACCATCAACAAGTATCGACAGCTATTTTTTACACTAGCCATCGATGCCGCAGAGATTGGCATAACTGCGTTTTAGAGATGTAGCACGTTCAAAAGCCGCAAAATGGTGCCAGCGATCGGTCTGCTCCGATATACATATATAGATACGTGATTCGACGCAGAAATTGCCAATTTTTTCCCACGATTTTTTTAATCGGCGTTCTGAGAGATTAAGTGAACTTATTAAAAAGAAATAAAAATCACCAGATTTTTTTACGCGCCGTATTAATAATGGAAAGTAATATCCGCAATATCGGTTTTCGCAATTTTTTTTTTCAAATAATCTAAAACTTCGTACTTACGCAATTAGGTAAAATTGATTTTGTAATAGAGAGAGAGAGAGAGAGCGCGGAAATAGTTGCGGATCCGCATGTGTTTGTTCTAAAACAGCTGTTTTATATACAAACATTCTCCGACCGTCGGAGTTTCTAAAACCGCAGTGGAAATACCGCGTTGCAAGGCAGACAGTCCATTTCTTCCCGTGCTGTCTCCAGCATGTCCCTGCTTAGTTGCTACTCTACTAATGGTCCCCTATCTTTGTCTTAATTCTTCGAGCTGTGGCAATGCTGGTAGACAAATGGCATCGCGCGCATAGTTTCGAGGAAAGAACTCACACGGTCATTTGGATTTACGAGATAGATAGTGAAAAGAAAACTGATGCGCTAGCACAGTACTTTACCAGTGTCAAATTTTATTTCAGTAATTCAATATAATATATTCATTAGTCATTTTTAAGTAATTTAAATAGAATATACAAGATGTTCCAGACCGTATCACACGTTAATGGGAGATTCCTGAAACGATTTTTCTTCAGCGAAAATGTCCAGGCATCAATAATTTTCGAGTTATAAACAATTGAAAATATAAGATTTTTTGTAAAGCAGGCCTCGTAAAAATAAATTATTAATAAAACTATATTTTTTAGTTAATTTCAGATAAAGTTTACTTGAATAGAATTTTAATTTAAAACTTGGTTACAAAAAGACATGATTTCAAAAATTGAGAACATTAAAAAAATGATGACCTTTCTCGACATTTTCGCTAAGGAAAAATCGTCTCCAATTCGCTTCAGGAATCTCCCATTAACGCGTGATACGGTAAGTCTGCGACACCCTGTATAAATCATAAAAATCGAGAATATTAATTGCTGCGATTAATTTAATTTCGACAATTAACCTCACCTACCGCATCCTTGTGTCGTATAAAATCAATCTCCCGAAAATAAATTAAATTTTAAAGTATCGCGAAACTGTTTGTAGTTCGATTTTTAATCGACGCGAGGGATTAGCACGCGCGTTAAAATTAAACTTCGAGGACTTTCTAATTTTGGATCTAATAACGCGTTATCGCGTCATTGAGAGTGTGTTTATCGATTAATGTATAATAAAAACTTGAGGATGGCTCTCCCCTTTCGTCGTTCGGGACCCGACTGCATGTACCTTGAATTTGCATGTTTCCGCCTTCGTAACGATGTAATTAACAAGAAGTACCAATTAGCATCCACGTCATCGAACGTGACACGGGCGCGCGATGTGCGTCTTGTTTGCGGAGACGAGAACGATCGAATGTTTGACACACGGAGAGAGAAATGAGGGATCCCTCGTTCCAGCGTGCGCGAGCATTGACGGAGTATAATCTGCGAAAAGTATCGCATCGCGTTCACACATATCTCTATTTGCGTCCGAGGACAATCATGATTTATAGCGCGAACTGATTATCTTTTATCGAACTTTTTTCGCGGCTTTTTGTAGAATAAAAAAAACTCTTTTTACCGTGTCACAGGGAGAGAGAGATTTCAAAACTTTTATCTACGGATTTATGGACAAAGTATTTCAGATCCTAGCACTTGATTTCGGTCTCAAATTTCCGTATAATAACAGTTTTTCGTATGCATAATTTCGTAATATTATTGTACATTAATGTAACCCCTTTTGCGAATTTAAATTTTATATTAATTGTCGGAGCAAATTATACGTGGAACGAGCTGGATAGTAAGAGTCTGTTAATTACATTTTTAATGTCTAGGAAAAGGGAATTCGAAAGTAAGAGAATTTTCTATAACGCGATGAGTTATTTAATTAAAGCAAAAAAGAAGGAAAAGCACCCAATTGTTCTTCTCTTTTTTGTATTTACATTTTTATTTGTTACACTTGCAGTATTTAGGATTACTAAATTGGATTAATACATTATATTATCGCACGTATTCTCTCTCTCTCTCTTTCTTGCGGAGAGCCCTCAAATTGTTCAATTATGCGCCGCGTACTTGATAACACGCGCAATAATTGAATTAAATGAGACTGAAAAGTGGAGGTTTCGAAATCGAGCGACCTTATTTTTTGCTACGCACGCAAAAGAGCAGCCGGGCGTTCGAGATTTCGACAGGCGGAGCCGAAAAAATGCGGCTTCTTAAAAAGAGAAAAAAATTCCCTTTTGTCCAGTATCGATCGCGAGCCTAATTAATCGGTTCGACGCGCGCAACGAGACTTTTGGTGCATTAACATCGCTGCAATTAGCTCGTTTCGTAGTCCTCCAATGCTCTATGTGGTAGGGAATCTTTTGTTTCTGATTTCGCTGATATCGATTTAAGAGGGTTGGCCATTCATTAGATTGCGGAGGTGTCGATTTGCGTGAATAGAGATTCATATACGCGTATCCCTTTAATATTTTTGTGCAATTACTATATAATATATTTGTCAGCGTGTAATATAATTCATACTAAAGTGAACGCGGCAGCCAGGATAATTTAATACTTAAAATACTCTTCTTTCCGCTGAAATATGCAAAGCAATTGCAAATTATGCGAAAACGAGTGAACTCGTATACACGCACGCGTTAAGTAATTTTGAATAAATAAAGTTTAAAGGATAAAATTTCATGTTGTGACAACTCGTTCATATACACGTGTCACTTTTTATTTTTATTTTTTTTTTTTTACATTTTGTAATTAAACTTATATTTGCATAACAACATTCAATTACACGAGTTGTGTGTGATTCTCGCGTCCAAAAAAGTTATCTCAGTACGTTCTATACTTGAGATTGTGTAGGGAATATTTTTTAGAGCGTTGAATTAAATTATCATACTTTGAACGTGAGTCTGAAGAATAAAATTGAATATTATTTGTGTGTTAATTTATATAGATATACATATAAATATAGATGAAATTGCAAGAAAGGCTAAAACGTCACGTTAGTTTTTCAAAAAGGAGAGAGAGAGAGAGTGAGCGACTTGCTTCTTTTTACATTGGTACTTATTAAGTCGAAGAAAACTTCGAGGGGTCGAGAGATTGTAAAATCTGAACTGTAATGTGCGACGAACGACTTATTATCGGATTAATTCGGCCTGCTAGTCTCTTTGGGGGTTCCTAATACCGTCCAAGTTTCCTTACTTTTCCGATCAATCCTCGGATAAGACGGAAGTTGGCAACGTGGGATGGAAATCGAATTAAAAAAGGGACCGGGTGGAAATTTGTGAGGGAGCGGTTGAATGTGTGCGTGTATATATATGTATACGGATGCGTGTATTAGTAGATTCGATTCGATCTACCGCGTTCACTCGACTGTATTTATTGCCTTTTGAAAACTGGCTTCCGTTTGCCATTGCTTGAAGGATTTGTTAATGAGGTTCAGACCTGAACAAACAGAGCACAGTAACTCGATCTTGTCAAAATGAGGATTAATAATGTCTACTCCGGTTTATTTGACCTAATTCGATTAGACTCCTTTTTCACTTTAGCCTTTTTAAATTAAGGAAAATATATCTCTTATCTCGTATATTCGATTGAAATCGATATCAACTAAAAATAGCCATTTTTCATTTGGAAGTTTTATATCACATGATATAGAACTGTACCGAAATTTTAAAATACTTTAATTAAATTCGATATGTGAAATAAAAGAGTGAAAATTTTTCGCTGCGATGATACGAAAAATTTCGTCGCGAGTGTTTATTACGAGAAAAAAACACAAATTTACCTTATTTAAAATTTAAATAAGATTAAATTTGTAAAAACAGCCTCACTATGCATACGATATAATATGTTATGTAATACATAAACGAGAGAGGGAGTTTTAAAGAAGCACTATTTTCAAACTTTGTTTGCGGACGTCGTTAAATTTGCGCGAAAGTGGAAATCTAGCTTTTTCCCTACCGGGCCGAACTTTGCATGCATGTCAACAAAGGATGCGATCGTTTTTTTTCTTTCTTTCTTTCTTTTTTGTCGACCGAATTCTCTCGATAATTTGGCCGCATTCGACTGCGCGCGAAGATCGAAGGGCAATCAGATTAATTCCGAGTCGTCGACCGCCCTCACACACACACCCTTCCTCCT